TTAGCATCACCATCATCATCATATGAGGGATGCTGGGCCCGGTTCTCAGCATGATTCGGTTCGGTTACTCCGGGTAGACTGTGAGGACCCCGGCCTCAATCTTCATTTTGAATAAAAAAATTTGTTTCCCAAAAAAAAAAAACAAAAAAAAAAAAAACTAAATGTATGACACCTACATTCACTTGACGCGGGAACACCTGCAGACTACCAAAGAAAGGCACTCGCAACGAGGAGAAGACAACAAGGAGGAGAAGGAGGAGAAGGAGGAGGATGGCAAAGAATGGCACTCACAACGAGGAGAAGACAAAAAGGAGGAGGAGGATGGCGCCAACGGTGAACAGACCACCGAAGATGATTCTTGAGATAACGCTGCGGAGGCCGACTTGTGTTGGATTGTCATGACCAGCGATCCCGTCCAGACATCTGCCCGTGCCAGAACAGCGGACGATAGGGGCGCCATGGCTATCACCACTTTGATCCACCGCTTGAGCCGGGTTGCCCGCATCCGCAGTCAGTCAGGTTGTGTTAATCCTCCCACACAGAATCACCCCTATGATCGCAATCCTACCTGCTGTCACAAGGTCTGCCATGTGCACCCGAACATGATAGGAGGAAAGAGTCGGCGATGATTGCTCGTTGCTTTCCACTTCTTCATTCCGTGCACTACGTGAGCCCGAAGGGAGGGGACGCTGATAGTCAAAGGAGAATAGACTCTGGGCGTAGTTGCACCACCCGCCATCTATCAACATCTGGAATGCATCTGGACATCAAGGGTTGGACCCCACTGGCCGGCGGCTGGAAACTGGTGTTGGCCATAAAAAACGGCCGACCGTGGTTGGAAACAATCTTCCCCATTTTGTTGGGAGCCCACCGCAGCCCGATAGTTTCGGCAGTGGAAAAGGCAGGGCATACCCGAATAGGAAATCGCCTTGGGGTGTTTCCGAAAAAGGCAAGTCCGGCGGGGGCTGTGGTCCATGGCCTGCTTGCGCAGCCAATGAAGTGTCGACAAAATGCCACGACGTCCAGCCCGATTCTGGAAACTGTTTGACATGCTCCCCCCCCTACTCGTCTGGAGGCGTCCTTGGAGACGGTCTGGAAACTCGTCTGCATTGCATTTCCAGACCGCGAGCTGAGTAGAAACGCCCCGTCAGCTTTTCCACGACCTCTTTCCAACCGCAGTGGGGTCTGAAATTCCTGTCCGGGCCGACTTTCCATGACTGTTTCCAACACCTGTGGGGTCTGAAAAACACTTCTTTGCCAAAACTTTTCCACGCCGCCAGCCAGTGGGGTCCAAGCCATTCAAACTAGGCCCTCTGCACCATCGACTTAATAAGCGGAATGAGAAGAAGCCTGGATGACGGAATGATCATGACTGTCAGAGCAGGGGTGCGGTGAAAACGACGCTGATAGTCGAAGGAGAATAGACTCTGTCAGAGCACGCCTATGATGCCGAGAGACGATTGTGGATTGTGGTGATGGTTACGACGTCGGAAATCGACGAGGACGAGAGGGAGGGGTGACGAGGAGAACGTTGGACTCTGAGGAGGGAGGAACGAGGGAAGAGGAGGGGAAGAGGAGTAGGGAGGAAAAGCACTCTGACGATGACGGGCGAGGACAGAGGATGGAGGTTGGACGAGAAGAGAGGAGAGCGACGAGGACGGAGGAGGAGAAGGGAGGAGGGCGATGAGCATGGATGGAGGAGGAGGGAGGAGACGCTCACCTTCGCACGGTAGCCGTATGCACTCCAACGCATTGATCAACGACGTGGCGAACTCGAAGAATCACTGCTGCACCGTTCTTCCGTGGCGGCGCGTGAAATGCCTGCCACTTCGAATTCGAATTCCTGCCGCCACTGCCGCAAGGGCACCACAAAAAGATGTGTGCCCCTGGTGAGGGCATTTCGAGGACGGACCGAAGAAAAGGCACCAGCGGTCCAGTAAGGGCATATCGGAACGTTACGCCCCATGCTGACAGGGGCCTGCGGAAAATTTCCGAGGCCCAAGGGGCACCACAGGGTAAGTCGGCCTTCACAGGGGCACGCTGCAAATAAATGCAAACTTTGGGGGCATTTCGAAAATTTTCCCAAAAAGGAAAGAAAATTAAAAATAAAAGCTTATTGTCACTCGGTGAGGAACTCCGTTTTCCTGAAATTTGCGTGCAATCCCCCCTTTTTTTTTTTTTTTTTTGGTTTTTGGGTGGGGGTGCCGGGAGGGCCAAGGAACTTCATAAGTGGGAAAGCCCATCCTTCTAGTTTCACAGTTACAGACGGGGAAACACACACACACACACACACACACACACACACACACACACCTGTCTCTTATACACATCTAGATGTGTATAAGAGACAGCACACAGATAGATAGAGAGAGAGAGAGAGAGAGAGAGAGAGAGAGAGAGAGAGAGAGAGAGAGAGAGAGAGAGGTTACTTCACGAAGAGCAACGAACTGTACACTTGTGACACATAATGGTCTGTCTCTGCATCATTCGAATTTCAAATGCTATCATCACATCATTCACCCACTGGGCTTACCAAAATGCGCTTCCGCCGCCGCTCAGCGGCCATGCAGACCTTGACCGGACACTTGGGCATCTGAAATCCAGCTAGTAGACCGAAAGAGTAGGTACGTGTTGCTGTGAAAGTTGTCTCTAATTTCTTTTCTTTTCTTTTTTTTTTCCTCTAATTTCTTTTCTCTTTGCCGTGAGAGTTTTTCTCAGGACCTACCACACACTTCGATTTCGGTATCGTCGCGTTGCCGAGGACCGGAATGTTCACATTCCCCCACCAATCCCAAAAGGGGCTCGCCACAACGCGACCAGATGGACGGATCGATTTATCGTGCTTAGAAGGCCTCTAGACAAACACCCCCCCATGCACTCCGCGAGTCCGCATAATGTTATGCAGAAAAGACAGATTATGCGGAGTGCATGGGGGCGGTGTTTGTCTAGATGCCTTCTAAGCACGATAAATCGATCCGTCCATCTGGTCGCGCTGTTATGCTGAAGAGACTCATTATGCGGAGTGCATTGGGGTCGCCTTTTTGGCTCCATTCCATTTCGGGAACTGCGAACGTTGTTGCCTATTATGACCGTGGGGTGTGACTCCAACGTACTCTGCCCTCCTCCCCCCCCCCTTACCAAAAAAAGAAAAAGACAAGCAGAGAAGTGAAAAGAGAACAAAAGAAAAAAAGGAACAAAACGCACCCCGCGGATGAATGTTCACTGTGGACTTGCCGACGTGTGGTCACTGCGTATATCCTTCGCTGTCCATGTGCTCATCAGGTTCATTCCGAAACGGACTGATGTTCGACAGACGTATTTTTTTCTTTCTTGCCTTGCACTTCACGTGACGTCACGGTCAATCTTGGCATGCAGAAAGAAGATGATCGAGGGCGGATGCGAACGACGGCTTGAGAACTCTTAGTTTAACAAGCCGGACGAGGACGATTTGCAATGATACGGTGATCTTTGAGTTTTGTTTCGGTTTACCTTTTCTTACAGATGGGGATGGAGGTGGGGGAGGGGGAGGGGGAGGGGGAGGGGGGAGGAGGGACTCACGAGAGGGAACGCCATTTCAGTCGATTCAACATAGAGGCCAGAAATTCCTCGGCACTACAGGTTTTCGAACACGATACGGGGGGCTAGGTCCCACTTACACAAATGATGCGATATTGACCGTAGATAGCAAAGATCAACGGCCAGCATCTCTTAATCCGTGCAAGTGGGACCTTGGCCGGGATCACCCGTCGTGAGGGCAGCGTTTCTTTCTCTCTCTCTCTCTCTCTCTCTCTCTCTCTCTCTCTCTCCCTCTCTCTCTCTCTCTCTGTGTGTGTGT